AATCTTCCCTGCCAAATCGAACCCGCCCTCCAGGCAGAGGACTGTCAGGGTCGAGTAGACTTGGAGTCAACAGCCAGTTTCCAGTTCCGACACTTATTATCATCATTATCCTGCTGTGTGGCCGTAGACAAGTCCCTTCTCCAAAGGGTCTCCGGTTTCCATGTGCAAAAGGCAGGAGGTGGGCTCAAGTTTCTGCCAGCTTGACAGCTCCCTGAGCACTGATTCCTGCCAAGTTCTCAGTGTGATTTTGTTTGTCCCCTGGGTCAGCGTGGTGAATACCTGGTTTTTCCAGCAGATGGAGACAGAGACTCCAGGCACTGAAGGGACAGCAAACCAGACTCAGAGCCGCTCACTAGCTAAGCCCTCAGGAAATAGGGTAGAATTGGGACAGGGAGGGGGGGATAATTAGGGGGCTTGGAGATGTGAAGAGGGGTAGGGTGGGGGGAGATGCTCATGGCAAAGGGAGGCAAGTAAGACACCCTTGGGGGAGGCCTGAAGTAAGATCCGAGGGGCACCTGCTAGGTACCAGGCACTTTCCACTTTTATCTCAGCTATTCTCAAAACCTTCCAGAGCTGGACATTTGATAACCAGCCCAGGGTCACACAGATGGTGAGTAAAGAAGCCAGGATTCAAATCAGGTCTTTCTGACCCCAAAGCCTGTTACCTTTTACTGTATCACCCTGGGACAGGAGCTTTTCAGATAAATGGAGAATGCAGAAACACCAGACTGCAGGGAGGTGGATTTGTAGGGCATGGCAAGTATCCAGGGGCAAACACCCCAGTGCCCAGAGCCCCCAGGGCACACAGAAGGGCAGGGATCAGGGCTTCAGGGCACTGACACCCTCTCTCAGATGCCTTACCTCCCCACCCCTGTCTCCAGCCCTAGATGCTCCAACCAATCCCAGGGAACACAGGGCCTCCATGGGAAGGGAGCACTACATTGGGAATCCAGCCCCAAGTCTCTTCCTGACTTGCTGGGTGGCACTGCCTGCTCTGAGCTTCATCACCTCATCTGTCTGATGGGAGTGATATCCCATCACCTCTTTGAAGGCAGGGCTTGGATCTCTTGAGGCCCCTCCAAGCTCTGAGGTGGCTGACTCCAGAAATACCCTGGTTTCCCCCAACAGCCAGCCCCCTTACCTCTGTGGGCCACCCTGAGTAGGGCCTCCTGGCTGAAGCGCTGGTGGGCTGAGTTGGTGGCCACGCAGCGGTAGGAGGCTTCGTCACTTTCCTGAACATCCAGGATCTGGAGAACCCCATTGGGAAGAGTGATGAGCCTTGGGAAGGGGAAGAGGGCACCTGTGAGGTGGGCAGGAGCTCGGCAGGGAGGGTGGCATGCGCAAACTGTGTCTCTCCAATCCGACCTGAAACACCTAGCGTCTCACTTTCAAGCCTCACTCATAATTTTTAAAATGCAAATTAGAACTATAAGAAACCATTTTCACCTATCAGATGGGCAAAGGTCAAAAGGTTTAATAACACCCTACCTACATGAAGGAATAGGGGGAAGGCACTCTTGTCTTGTTAGTGGCCATGCCAAGCAATATACCCTCTTTCAGGGGCAAGCTGGTGATATCTTAAACTCAAACCTGCAGGTGCCTTTTGACCCAGCAGCGCCACCTTGAGGACTCTATCCCACAGATGTTCTCATACATGTACGCAAAAATGTATGTTTAATAATATTAATTCCAGCATGGTCTTTAATAGCAAAAGACTGGAAAACAATCCAGTGCCCATCTGCAGGGTGGGGACTGGCTAAATCAGTGTGGCTACATTCATGCAATGGAATGCTAGGCAGCTGCTCAAAGGAGGCAGCTCCCTGTGTGCTCATATAGGAAGATCTCCAAAATGTGTACTGTGCACAACAGTGTGGGGGGGGGATCTGTACACGTGTATGCAGGCACCGAATGTCCCTATGATGGTGGCTGTCTCTGAGGAGGGGCCCTGGGATCCTGGGAGCTGAAAGTGGGGGAGGGCTCACTTTTATTATATAGCCTTCTATACCTCCTTCCTCCCCTGGCAAAGTCCCTCTTATTCACACAATCTCATCTGACCCGCAGAACAAGTCGAAGAAATAGAGGGGATCACAACCTTCACTTTATTGGTGACAGAACTAAGGCTTAGAGAGAGCAGGGTATTTTCCCAGGGTCTCACAGCTGGAGCAGTTAAAACTTGAATCCAGGTCTTCTAGTCCCAAATCCCATGTTCTTCCCACCTGCCTGTCTTGGCAGCCCTTACATGATTGAGAATGCCAATGGAGGGAACACAGTGCCCAGCAAGCCCCAATCAACATGGACATTACTGAGGACGAGCAGGATGGATGAGGGTGGTGTTCTCTGCCCTCTTGGTTAGAGGGTTGGAACGTGGCCTCTGCTAGGAAGGCCCAGAGACCTTGCTTGAGAGACAAAGCAATCCAGGGCAGAGAAGTGTCCATGGGGGACAGGGTGGTGGGCTCTAGCCCAAGTAGGGAATGAGTGGGTCCCCCTGCATCCTCCAACTGTGATCCCTACAGGGGGCTCAGGGCTGAGAGTTCTAATATCTCAGAGAACAAACAGTGCTGGTGCCTGGATATAGGCTGGGCCAAGGTCAGAGAGGAAACAGGGCAGCTGTGCACTTGGTAAAGAAGTTCCCTTAGCTTGTGGAGAAATGGGGTATAAGAAAATCTAAACACAGGAGATGAGAACCAGCTTGAGGGTGTTGGGAGAGAATTCTGGCCATGGGCCTGGAAACCTACTGTGGCCCAAAGACTTAGAGAAAAAACAGAAACCTGCATCACTCCTTTCCTCACTCCAAAGGCAAACCCAACTCTGCCCCAGCATCTTCCTTCAGCTATGACAGCTGCCCACATCTGTGGTAGGCCAATGGGGGAGAAGGGACAAGAAGGGAAAGAGTTGTTGGAGGTAAAATCCTGGGCCAGGCCCGGCCGGGCGTGGCTCAGCCGTTGAGCATCGACCTAGGATCCAGGAGATCATGGTTCAATTCCGTCCGGGCACATGCCCGGGTTGTGGGCTTGATCCCCAGTCAGGGGCGTGCAGGAGGCAGCTGATCAATGACTCTCTCTCATCCTTGATGTTTCTATCTCTCTCTCCCTCTCTGAAATCAAGAGATATATTTTAAAAAATTAAAAAATCCTGGGCCAGGACCTAGCCTGCAGCCACAGGAAATTTCATGGGAAAAGCCAAGTGGGGAAGGACAAGCAGGACTCATCTGGGAAACAAAGCCCCCATCCCCATCCAGGTCTCTTCCACTTAACATACTCTGCCTCCAAGGCCGTTCGTGCTCCCTCAGTCTAGCTAGCTGACTCTGCCTGCAGGGTTCCTGCCAGGAGAAACTACATTTCTTAGCCCCAAAGTTCCCTGGTCTTTCCAGGGAAATTGTGCTCCAGGGACCCAAGAGCTAATATCTCTTTCGACAAGTAACATTTCCTTAATTATGTGTGTTGAATGAATGAATGAACACCTTTCCTCAGATGTGCTGTTGCTACAGCCAACAGAGCAAAATAGAACCAAAAATCATTTCTGTTTTGTTAAAATGTGGTTTTAGAAGCTCTGTCCTTGGAAAGATGTCCAAGATCTATTGGTTAGTGGGGAAGACAGTCACAAAACAGTGTTTATGAAGCAACTCTATTTTTGGAATATAAATAAATGATATGTTAGGATATACACAAAAAAATCCAGGGTGGTAAAACTCCCATCACCCATAAAGGTTTTCTCTGGAAGTAAGGTTACTGGGGACTTGTTTGCTGTTGTTGTTGTTTTTAATATATTTTTATTGATTTCAGAGAGAGGAAGGGAGAGGGAGAGAGAGAGAGGCAGAAACATCAATGATGAGGGAGTCATTGAGGTGCCTCCTGCACACCCCGCACTGGGGATTGAACCCACAACCCGGGCATGTGCCCTGACCTGGAATCGAACAGTGATCTCCTGGATTATAGGTTGATGCTCAACTGCTGAGCCACACCAGCCGGGCTATTTGTTGTGTTTTAAAATTTTTTTTGCAGTGAATATTTATTAGTTTGGAAATATAAAACTTTAAAGAATTTAAATGGAAAAAAGCATGTGCTCTTGTACATTTGTTTTCTAACTCCAGGCTCTGTGGCAGAGTGGAGAGAACTGGTTCCAACATATGTGATTTTAGCAAGTGACATCCCATGTCTGTGCCTCAGCATCTCCTCTGAAAAATGGGTTAAAGAATTTCTGTCCTTCCTACTTCACAACTCTGACCCTTTTAACATCTTATGAGCTCACATTGCATAATGGACCTAAACACTAGCTATGAATTACAAACTCTAAACACATCTTTACAACGGTGTAAACTGTACACATATTTGAAAAGACTGGAAGGAACACTCAAAACGATAATAGCTGTCTGTGTTCAGGTGGTAGGCGATTTCTCCCCCTTTAAGTTAGTATATTTTATCATTTAAAAATTAATTCAAGTTTCAAATAAAACAAAATAGCTACTTATAGAATGAAAAGAAACCTCTATCCAAAAGGGAGGAATTCTTGTTTCTTTAAGCCTGAGACTGAGTCTGCTGCTCCACTCCCCCAAAAAGCCAGTTGGACCCAGGGATTCAAGAACACAGAAGAAATGACACAGCTGCTCTGAGTTTCCTGAGACCAAAGAGCCCCACCCCTAAGCCCTACAGAGATCCCCTGGGGCAAAGGACACTAGCCGAGGGTCACACCATGTTGACACTCGATGGACACTGGGAAATGGGCAGGGCAGAAGACTGGACTAGGGATCCCTCAGTATTTAAGTCCATTAGTGCCACGTTTTTAAAGTGTGAGTGAGTGGAGATAACACAATGATTTCAAATGGATCCAGACACACATTTTTTTATTTCAGTGGTTAGGTATTTATTTTTATGGCCACCTTCTATTTATGGTAACTGTTGCTGGTTTTCCATTTTACTGCAGTGAGATAATGTTTCTCTTAAGTATGTGTTAAGTTACAAAAGAGAGAGTTGATTTAAAGAAATGCATTAAGTAAGTGATTGTATAAATGGTTTAGGGATGGCCAAAATTATAAAGGGCGTTTATGAATGCCTGGACTTTGGGAAACATTGCTCTCATTGATGACTGGTTCCCATAGAAGAAAAATTATCCCCTATCATTAGAAATTAGCATAAGTACCAGGGTATTGCCTTAGGGTCTAGTCTTCACCATCAGTTTCAAAACTATGCACATATACCCTGACAGAGTGTGTTTATTAACTGCACATGTGCGCTCCCTACACCAAGGCATATGGTCTCCTTCAAACCACTGGGCTGAGTTTATGAATAGCATATTTGTACATGTACTATATCTGGGCATGTATTGTAAAAATACATACCTTGGGCATAATCAAGTTGCTGTTTTAGACATTTCTTTATTCCCCCCACACAATGTGCTGGGACATGTAAGTCCAGCTTATTTATAGATGAGGATCACTTTTCAGAGGACTTGGGGGCAAACACTCCCAGAGCTCAGGAACTGGCAGCTCCAGGCTACTGGGAGAGGCCCGTGGCCTCATGGAATGATGCCTGAACTAGATGTCGGGAGGCGAGGTCTCAATACCACTGTTTGCTGAGAAACTTTGGGGAAGAAACTTCTCTGTTTTGAGCCACAGATGGACCACCCGTTCTCTAAGCCCACCTGCAGCAGGAACTTCCTCAGACATTGCAACTGCCCCATCCCCCACCTCCCACCAAATCACGAGAGGCTGGCATGTCATCCACGCCAGCGCTCTGGCATCCAACACTGGCTGTGTGAGCTGGGCCACGGTATTTCTATCTCTGATCATCAGTTCCCTCATTTAACAATCTGGATAATAATATCTGCCATTGCCATATGTACAGACCTGGAAGGATATTTATTATGTGTTAAGTGGAAAAAAAAAGTAAAATTTGAAATATAATCCCATTTTTGTTTTGAGGAAGAAAAAAAAGATGACTGAACAAAAAACCCAGTACAGTATGTACAATGTAATCCAAAATTTAAAAAAGAATATTTATAAACGTATAGGGGAAAGTCCAGAGTATAGACATCAAAACTAACAGTGACCCTGGATGGTGTGGCTAGGTGGTTCGAGAGTCAGCCTGAACACCAAAGGGTCTCGGGTTTGATTCCCAGCCAAGAGCATGTACCTGGGTTGCTGTTTGCTTCCCCCCCCCCGCTGTTGCAGTGCGTTCGGGAGGCAACCAGTCGATGTGCCTCTCTCACATCGATGTTTCTCTCTCTCTCCCTCCTTTCCACTCTCTCTGAAAAGCAATGGAAAAAATATATCCTCACGTGAGAATAAAAAAAAATTTTTAACTAACAGTGGTTTTCTATGGGTGATGGGATTATGAGTAACCTTTGTTCTTTTTTATTTGTATGAATTTGAAAATGCATTCTCTAGGAATATGAACTAAAAGAGGGCAACATGAAAAATAAGAAATACCTACCTTGAAAGATGATGGGAGCGATTACGTGAGAAAACATAGCTCTCATTAAGTGGTTTCTGCTCTCTCCCATTCCCTTGGGGGGGCTGCCAGGAGTAAGCTTTCACTTGTTTCTTGCCCAGCAACTCCCAGGAAGCACCCACCAAATAGCACCGGGAAGCCCCACATTTGGAAGGCATAGAACTTAAAATGTCAGTATTTCCATGGTCCGCTCCCTAGGATGCTCATTCATGGAATGCTGCAAGAGGGGGTCTGGGAAGATGAGTCTAAAATTATATAAAGGCAGTTTATAAGTGCTTGGATTTTGGGAAACATTACTCTTATTGATGACTGATTCCCATGGAAGAAAAATTATCCCCTATCATCAGAAATTAGTATAAGTACCAGGAAATTGCCTTAGGGTTGAACAAGTTAAACAGGTTTTCTATACAGGACTTCTCAGTGCCTTGTCAAACTCCAAGAGGGACACTTATAGGCAGTTTCATGACCTTGCCTACAGAGTAGTTTTTTCAAAAAGCCTCTTTAGGTACTAAGGTTCTACAAAGAACACACTTTGGGAAACCATGATCTGATCTAACCCTTTCATTTTTTTCCTTTTAATTTTATAGATGGTTGACAATGAAGCTGAGTGAGAAGGGACTTGCTGAGGACCAATGGGGCTAACTGCTCATCAAAGTCAACAGGGTGGCTTATACCTTGACCTCTTGCCCTTCCTCCTTCCCCACTGTAACAGAGATGTGTCCTGTGGCTTTTCTACCTAGAAGTTTCTCCTACACTTCCACAGCCCGGCCTAGATATGGGCAAAAGTCCGAGGAGCTGGGACAACTCAGCACACTCAGGATAGATTAGTCCCAAGGCAGGAAGATCTGAAAACCAGTGTTTCTGAGCCTAAGGAACCCTGCCTCCACCAGGAAAGAGCAAGGTGGTAACTATAGCTAGAGAGATGTAGTGAGAAGACTAGGAAAGGTTTATGGAGCCGCATGTCCAAAGATGTAAGAATCCACGGGGTGACAACCGAGTTATGAGATTAATTCAGATACCACAGATGAGACTGGGCCTTATGCTTTCTGGTCATGCTGAAGTTCCTACCCAGAAGGCTGCAAGAGGATCTAGCCTCTGTTTCTTTTCCACCTTAGGAACTCTTCCCTGGTGTGGCTCCTCTGTCCACTGACTTCATGGGGAGAGAGGAGTGTGAAACAGGAGGGACCTCCACAAGCCATTTATCAGATGCTGCACCCTACTGAATGGAACTGAGAGAAGAAGAGAGGTAGAAACTCCAGGAGAACCTTACAAAGAGAATACCTTTCCAGCAGCCTTGAGTCCTTGAACAAACAACAAACATTCTGCCAGTGACTCACGGTGCAGCCTTGGATAAACCACAGCTCCTCTATGGTCCTAGGGTTCCTCAATAAAGTAAGCGGTTGGACTAGAGAAGCTCTGAAGATCCCTATCACTACTCTCTACCCAAGCTCCAGAACGTAGGGGATGGCTTTCTTCCCAGAGAACAAAAACTTCTTGCCCAACTTCTCTTTGGGACGAGAAATGAGCTGAGAGTCAGGCAATGGTTGGCTACTAAGTCAGTTTCAGCAAATGGAGGTGCCCTGACTCTAAGAATCCTTGAGAGTTCCCTGGCCTACCCACTGGGACCCGTTCTTCATTCCCCTACAGGGCACTCACCGAGGTTCCTCAGGCACTGTCACCTGGTCCTTCTCCCAAGTAATGATGGGTGCTGGCAGCCCTTCAATGTGGCACTCAAATCGAGCCGTCCCGTTCTCCTCCACTGTCTGAGACTCCGGGTGCAGAGTGAAGCCTGTGAGTGCTGAGGATAAGACAGTGACACACAGGCAGGGACAGGAGAGGGACAGAGAGAGGAGGCCACAGGGGGCACAGACAGTGAAACACACACACACACGAGAAACATGGGTGATAGAAACACAAGCAGAGCAAATTCAGACCNACACACACACACACACACACGAGAAACATGGGTGATAGAAACACAAGCAGAGCAAATTCAGACCAACAAAGATACATCCTGGTCAGATGCTGTGGATTCCAAAGTCCCCAGGCTTAACATCAGCATCATGGTCAGACTACAATAAGATACACATTTTTTCTGGCCTGAAAATTAGTGTTTGGTGATCTGTGCCTCCTAAGAGCCACCCCCCCAAAGGGTGGGCTGGACAGTAGGGCTTGACTCTACACACTCCACCTACTGTGGGGTGGGGAGCTTTCTGGGGAGGCACCCAGGGAGCTCCCCACACTCTTACAAGCCTCTCTGGAAGACTTCCTAGAGGAGAGCATTTTACACTCTCGAACTCCATGGGACAGAAAAGGGGCAGGAACAGAGGAGTGGAGAAATGGGACTAACGAACAGTGAGGCAGACAATACCAGGGAGGGACCCACTGAGCAGGACAAGAGGCAGGGAAGGGGGTCTGGGCTGAAGAGTTAGGCCTTTGTGCAGGTAACTAATCAGGGTCCCGCTTCCCACACCCCAGGCCTCCTGGGTCTTAGCTCAGACCCCAGATATGAGCACTTACTGGCGAGCTTGACCACTGCAGCCTGGCTGGCCACTACTCCGAGGGGGCCATGGGCCAGGCAGGAATAGCTGCCTTCGATGACATCTGAGGCTGCAGGGGCCGCCTCTTCATTGCCATTGGGTGCTGGCGGCTGGGACAGCCACAAGGAGCCATTGGGTAGCAGGCGTAGGTGGTCATGTTCCTGCAGGGCACCTCCATCTTTGCTCCATGTGACGCTGGTGGGGGGTCCGGCAGCGGCAGTCCCCAGACTACAGTCCAGCACAGCCACCTGCTCTGGGCCCAGAATCACTTGCACTGGCCCTGGTCCACAGCTCAGCTCCACGGTTGTCTCCTGGGGCAACGGCAGCGTCCCTGCATAGAGGAGGGGGCACCAGGGCCATCAGTGTGTGTGCCCCACCTCCCACAGCCCCCAGCTCCTGAAACACCCACCCAGGGGCTAGGGCAAATCATGGAGAAAAAGGTCTCACAAAAAGACCTGAGTCTGGATCCTGGCTCTGTCCCTCACTAACTGTGATCTTGGGCAAATGGCTGCGCTTCTCCATGCCCATCTCCCCCAGCCGCTCAGTGTTCTCACCCACTAAAATACACAGCTCTTACCATCATTATTCATAATAGGCAAAAAGTGGAAACAACCCAAATGCCCATAACTCGATGAGTGGATAAATACATTACTCAGCCACCAAAAGGAATGAAGGACTGATATGTGCTACACTGTGGGTGAGCCTTGAAAACATTATGCTAAGTAAAAGAAGCCAGTCACAAAAGGCCACATATTGCATGATCTCATTTCTGTGAAACGTCCAGAATACTCGAATCATAGAGACAGAAAGCAGATTAATGGTTGCCAAGGACTGGGGAGAGGGAAGAATGAGGAGTGACGGTTGAAGGATATAAGGTTTCTTTTTGGAGTGATGAAAATTTCTAGAATTAGATAGTGGTGATGGCTGCACGACCTTGTGAATATACTAACCACCACTGATTTGTACACTTTAAGTGGTGAGTTTTGTGGTACGTGAATTGCATCTCAATGGAAAAAAAGACACAGTGATGGCTTTGGGATAGGGCTGTTGCGAGCACCGAGTGAGGTGATGTGTGGGAAGGAGCACAGTGCAGTGCCTGACCTGGCACAGAACCGGGCTCAGTAATGTCACTTCCTCCCTGAACCCAAACACATCGCCTTGACCACTATAGCCCGACCCACTTCTGCCCTGTGGCTGGAGGAGCTAGGCACCCCTCCTGCAGCACGGTTCCCCAGGGCCACACACCAAGCCAGAGCCAGAACCCCAGTCTCCTGACCAAGCCAGGGACCTCTCTCTCCAGAGGCCCCAGGACAGCCTGCAGCTCCAGCACTGCCCTTGTCACAAAGGGAAGGGTAAGGGAACGACGGAGGAAGGAAATGCCGTCCCAGGGTCAAAACAAAAACATTCGAGGGCCAATATTCATTATTTTAACCAACATTTCAGCTGCGCCCAGGAACCATCATTCAGAGAAATAGTTGGTTCTTCCATTTGTGTTTCCCAGAAGGTTGACTTGCTGCCTCCCTGTCTGATAAAAGCTCAATAGCCCAAGGTCACTTCTTATCCTTTGACTTGACTCCTTTCTTCAGGGCAGAATGAGGTATCTGAGAGTGAACCAGGGACACTGACCCATTCTCATTATGGGGCAGGTCGAGGCAGACAGAGCCATGTGGGGCATGCGGAAAGCACAATAGCTAGGATATCAGGGACCCTCAGTTCTAGACCCAGTTCTGTCACAGTCTAGCTGTGGGCCAGTGACTATTCCTTGCCTTAGTTTACTCAAATGTAGCAGGTGATGTCTGAGATTCTATGATTTTAGGATTATTAATGAACTAGACATACCTATTACTGAAAAAACATAGAGCATCATCTAAACATATACAGAGACTATAGATACAACCTTCCACACCTGAACACAGGCACCCCAGTCTCTGCCACACTCGTTGAAACCTGGACACATAGACCCTCACTTAGAACCCCTGTCTGTCCCTAGGCTCCCTACCCACTACCCTCGAAGAAGAACAAGACTGAGGGGAGAAACATTGACTGGCTAAGATAAGGAGACCAGGGCAAAAGCCAGGGCTCTGACATTGCAGTGTGAAGGACAGACAGACAGAGCCTGAATCTATCAGAAAGGCTCTGCTGACACCCCCAGCTCCACAGCTGGGCTCAGCATTACCAGTGGGTACAGGGAGGAGAAGGCAGCCCTTGCCCTCATCCAGTTTCCATTCTAATTGGAGAAACCAAACTGGCATTCCCATCATTGAAGGCCATTTGCTGTAGTGGAAAGAGCATTTGACCTTGGCATATAAGGTCAAAGTTCCAATCCTGTTCTTCCACCTACCAGCTGTGTGTCAAGCCACTTAACCTCTTGGGCCTCAGTTTCCACATTTGTAAAATAATGATATCACCAGCTTGGGAGAAATAAACAAGATGATGTAAGTCAGGGCTCCAGCTCAGCTCCTAATAAGCATCAATCAAGGAATGGGAGCTCATTCTTTAAAGGCACCGAAAAGGGGCTTGCACAAATGCTAATCGCTGTTCCTAACATCCAGTCCCTTCTATCTCTGAGGCCCAAGATTCTAGGATTCAAACGCAGGCAAGTCTGGGCTCTCAGCCCAGCGGCTTCCAATTGCACGGTTCCAGCCGCTGAGCAGTCGGTTTGAGTTTCAGGGGAGAAAGCCCCACATGACACGAATCTCTGAGCCCTCCGGCAGCCTCCCCGCCCCCCAAAGCACGTCCGGGGCTTGGAAAATCCCCTGCCGAGCTGAACAAACAATGTGAACAGTTGGGGCCCGAGCAGCTGCTGGGTATGTCAGCAGCCTGGGCTCTGGCGGGCAGGACGGCGGCCAGAGGGGCCAGGGCGGCTGGCTGGGGAGCCCAGAGGAGGCTCCGATTCCCTTCCTGAATATTCATGGATCAGCAGATGTCTGGCTTCCCCACCTCCGAGGAGCCCAGCAGCACCCAACAAGGCAGAACAGGGAAACCAACAGTGATGCAACTTGCAGAGAGAACCTAGGAGAATACACGGCTGTGCCGGGAACACACGCTGGCCCATGTTGGGAAGCCTGAGACTCCTCACTTTGTAGATGGGGAAACTGAGGCCCAGAAGGAGGGTCTCATTTCTCTTGGAGGCAGTTGCTTCTGAATAAGAGGTTTCTCTCTGCCTCAGTGCCCCATGCAACTTCTGGGGCCTGGACAAGCATCCTCAGAGGCTCAGCTCAGGCACCAGCCCTACATGAAGCTGCCCCTGTCTTCCCCGGTGAAGTTTTCCCTGAGTCTCACATCACACAGCCACTTGGAAATCCATTCTTCCTCTTGCCTAGATGGACAATGGGCCTTGACCTATAGAGTTAGAGTCCTGGGTCCATCATTTGTTGTATGACCTTGGATCCACTGCTTTCCTCCTTTCAGCCTCCATTTCCACAGTTTTAAAAATGAAGAATCTTCACATTTCTCATTTTCACCAAAATTGTCCCAGAAGCAGAGAGGAGCATACTCTGGAGGCTTACTGGCTGCCCAAAGTGGTTTTATTTTAAACCTTTGGCACATTTTGCATTCTGCTCCATTATAAGCAATGTTTGTTTTAATATAAATGTGGTTCCTACACCATCACATCTTTTCGTAAAAGTGATGCTCTGGGGAGTGGGTCTTGTTTGTCCAGTGGCTTTGTGGCCAGATCTTTCCTGCAACCCTCAGCCCACTGCCACGGCTGACCCCCAAAGCCCTTCCCACAAGCATTTCTCAGCTGTCCCTCTCAGGGCTGGGGCGGACACAGTGGACACGTGCTGCCTGCCAGCTTTCTGCCTCGAGGAGGCCTCCCTCTCCCATAGTCATCCTCGGTCTCCTCCGAGACACCGTCAGAGACACAGAGCTTCTATGCTTAGGAGCCCCAAGGCCATCTCTTAATCTTCTTTTTCTGACAGATTATTTTACCCATTTACCAGGATGAATTAGATTTTATGAGGCCAATTAGAACTCAGACAGAAAGGAGATATGCTGCTGAGCCCCAGGGTCAGCTCAATGCTGTTTCAGGGGATTTGTAGGGGCCTGGTGTGAGCCAGGGTTCCACTCTCCAGTGAACTCTCAGGAAAGAGGTGGGTAGGGGGAGGGGAACGAAGCCAGATGCCTCCTTAATTAAGCCAAGAACTTGCCACAAACATCAATGCCTTGTCACTTCTGAACTTCAGGGCCCAACAGATTTACAACTTGTTTTTGATCTAGGGCAATTCTCCATGACACCATCACCACTCTCCTTTCCCAGGAGACACAAGTCAGTTTTTTCCAGAAACCTCCCTTCCTAACCCCACCTTGCCACCTCCCTAACCACACACTAAGCCCCTCCCACTAACAGCTGGAAGGAGAGCTTGGGATGGTTGCCTGGGACACGAGGAAAGCCAGGGCACCCCCTTCAGTCGACTTGACAGCAAAGCCACACTCGGCTGCCAACCTCCCTTCCCTGAGCCCTTCTGTACCCACCAACCAGACCACTTTCAGTTCTCGGGAAGCACGTTGCTGTTCCATACGCTGCTCATGCTGCACCCTCTCCCTACGATAGCTGTGCCATCCAGTGTCTGATTTAGACACCGCTCCTTTTTCTGCCCTATAGGGCCCTGGGCACCTTGATCATTGCAGTTAAGATCCTAATTTTTTTTTTAATCCTCACGCGAGGATATTTTTTCCATTGCTTTTCTGAGAGAGTGGGAGGGGGAGACAGAAACATCGATGTGAGAGACACACCAATTGGTTGCCTCCCGCACGTGCCCCGACCAGCTCCAAGGATCAAGCCTGCAATCGAGATACATGCTGTTGGCAGGAATCGAACCCAGGACCCTTCAGGTCGCAAGCTGATGCTCTAACCACTGAGCCAAACTGGCTAGGGCATTCTAAATTTTTGATTTGTCTTTCTCCCCAACTAGGTCACAAGCTCAAGTTTATGTCCTTATCAGCTTTCTAAATCCCCAGTACCTAAAACAGTAATTGGCACATCGTAGGTGCTCAATAAATATTCCTTGAACATGAGAGTGCACACATGGAACACACTCAAAAAGATATGACACAGAGCCCCTCATGCTTTTCCAAGCCTTGAATTCCTCATCTGTAAGAATTACAGGAACTCGCCTCAGGGCTGGAGATGATGTGAGTAATATATGTGGAAACTGCCTTGCAGCCTGTGTGGCACCTAGTAGACACCTAACAAAATGCTTAAAAAGCACAGGGACAGAATAGCAAACTCACACTGAAAGAAACTACTTTAAACATTGCCAGGACTAGGGAGCTCACTACCTCACCTGTTTGTTTTGCTCTTTGGCTTGTATGATTAAAAATATCTTCCTCCTGTGCCCACTGTTTTCTCCTCATATGCTCCACTCACTTGCCAGGGCTCTGTCCTCCAAACTCCATGACAAAGTAATGAGCCCCTTATCGAACCTTCCAGAAGTCTTGTCTCTGTACCAGCTTGCACCTGAGAGCTTATTGAGCCTCTGCTTCCCTGACCCCAATGACCCCACAGCCCCTTGAGTTCAAAGGAT